GGGGGGGGGGGGGGGGGGGGGGGGGGAGGAGCCGAGTATAAAAGCACGACGAAGAAACGAGTTACTTTTAGTTGACCGTGCTTCTTACACTAGCTGAAAGCGCGCACGCGGTTCGTTGTTTCCGCCGTGCATTTTATCGCGCACTCGTGGCTCCTCGTTTGTACGGAGACTTCGCGTTACACTTAATTTGAGAAAGCGTGTTTTCACTTCTTTGAGAATCGCAATTTACGCGAATTAACTGATATTAACGGAAGCGAATAGACGTCATCGAGAAGGCTAAAAATTTCACCACGATGAAAGTTTCGTGATATTGAAATATAGTCCGTAATATTAAAACATACTTCGTATATTTCTCTCGACGACCCGAGGATAACCCGACGAATAACAAGATTTTTTGCGTCTGTGTTCCAATCGAGTTATCTTTATACGTTGGACTGTTCTGGCGACTTTACTTAATCCGTATCGTAATTTACCAGTATGCCTTCGGTCATTCTTCGTGCGTGCGACATGAAGTTCATACGTAGCTTCTTCTTCGGCGATACGTGCTCGCACAAGTCGGTAGAGAACTGGTATCCGCGTGAAAAGCTAAAAGACGTTTCGACGACCAACGAGACATTCGTTGTGAGTTTCACCTGATTCGTGCGTATGTTCGTTCCGATTTACTCGTTAACATCATTAACTCTTCGCTAAAACGCGAACGCGATTCGTCTCCGGTACAAATTCGAACGGGCTGAGGAAAAGCGACGATTTGTGCGTCAGTGAATTTTACGATTTCTCATATCTCATAATGTACGATCAATTGAGCGAATGTAATTACCTAAGAAAAAAAACCATCATATATGAAATTTGTCTCTACATGACCATATGTAACCATGAATAATTATATATGTTCACAACAAAAAAATACTGTTGTACACAAATTAGATACAAATACAATCGAAGTAAATACTTGTGACTACTTATACTTCCAACAACACATGATGACGATGTTTAATTGAATGAAACATGACATCATTTCTTTCATATGGACACGTATGATTATATACGTAAACCGTATATGTGGCAAAATTCATATTTTAAAAAAATTTATAATCATATATAATTTTATATAATTATATATAACCATTTTTTTGCGGGTAGTCGCATATTATATAAAACGCTAGCTGCTCGATTAAGCGAGATTTCGAAACCAGCGACGGAGTCTTCTTGGTAACTCCTTTATCTCGCGCTCGACCATTATCTGCCAATTTGCGTTACATATATCCCGACTTGTCGAGTTCACTTGCACTGAACTGCAACATACGCAATGAATTCACATTAGATAAGTATCCAGCGTGCAAACAATCATCGAATTTTTCTTTTTTTTTTCTCGAACCTTTTACACGCGATAAATTTTCAATAGAACGCAATAGGTCAGAATTCGAAGATCAAGGATATGTCAAGACGATACCTATGTACAGTCGCAGCGCATTTTTAAGACATTGTACCATTGTAAACACTCGTGCGCTCTTCCTATATCGGTATAATGTTCCAAACGAGCGACCATCAAGTCTACGTGTGAGTGCAACATTAATTTGGCCATTAAAATATAGTACGCACTTTGCCCACAGGTGGACGAGTACAAGACGAAGGCGTCGAAATTGTTGCAAAGCTGCCACGACTTGTTGACGTCAAAGGAGTGGAAGGTTGAGTGCACCACGACCGAAGGCGATGTTGTGTCTTATATGGAATTGCCCAAGCCGGACGGAAGAATCGTAAAGATCACCGTGAGTCGCAGTGCGACGTAAAGCGAATTGTACCGAATCAAAATTAATATCAAATTATATAAATCAAATTATTATATGTCGGTAAAAGAAAAAAGTTCAATTTCGGAGTCGAATTTCACGGAAACGGATCGAGCCGAGTGATGGTCGTTACATCCTCTAAGAATCTTCCTGCAATACATATGTATACCTTGATCGCATGGAACGACCGGTTTGCCGCCGAGGAAGCCAGAAAGTCGAACTTTTTGACTAACCCAATAGGAGAAATGGGAAAGAATAATTCTAACGATACGACAATGGTGTATCATTCCGCGAATGATTAATACGCTTTGATCATTGTTCCACAGGGCGTCGTGGATGCGCCTGCCAGCACGTTAGTCGATTGGCTGTTTGAGGGTATCGAGGAGCAAGCTTCGTGGAACAAGCTCGTAATGGAGTCGATGAAGCTGCAGGTGGGTATTTCTCTCTTTTGCCGTACTTTTTATAGAAGCACTGTTATATCGGTGAAAATCTTCTGTTACTCAGAATATCGACGAGAACACGGATATCGTGTACCAATCGACAAGCCCGCAAGGCGGCGGGCTCATCACGGCGCGAGATTTCATTATCCTGCGGCATCGCAACAAATACGGCGATTATTACATCAGCAGCGGTGTGTCCATCCCCGCGGCGGGGATCCCGAATCGCAAGCACATGATCAGGTGAGAAAATTCAGAGAGTGACAGAGAGAGAGAGAGAAAGGCCAGGAAAGAAAGGAAGAGAATTAGAACACAGGACCGATCTTACGAATTCACAAATCTTTTTTTTCAAGGGGCGAGAACGGCGTAGGCTGTTGGGCAGCAGAGGAATTGTCTGACGAGAACAGCAACAAATGTCGCTTCACATGGATCCTAAACACGAACCTGAAGGGCTGGATACCGCAGAAAGTGGTGGATAGAACGGTGTCCACCGCTCTCATAGATTTCATGACGTACTTGAGGAAACACCTGGACGAATCAGAGAAGTGAGTCTGAGGCAGCATCGCTTGCAGGAGGACGATACAGATCGGGTCCTACCTGCCTTCGTCGAACTACTACGTAAGAAACATCCTGCGAACGTGTAACGCGCCTGATCCCGTGATATTCGCGTGCACACGATTCTAAAGGAAATTTAAGTGAGAGACCTAACGAAGAGCGCGGGCATTTCCTTTTTTTTTTTCTTTTTTCCAATATAGTTTAGTCCGGCGATTGACTACAGTACAGAGAGCGCATTTAAGATATCGTGCGAGATATGACAAGTCTACATTCGTCCATCGCGAAAGGAAGACGCATAAATCGATCACAATTTTACGATTTATATATATCAAGGCTATATTCCAAAACGTTCTGTTCAACGAAAATTTTACTTGGCGGCTGTTTCATCAAAACCTGACAAGCCTTTCTGATTGGTTCTTCTTTCGAATAGGAACCAATCGGAAACGCTTTATTTCTTGCAAAATTATGAAATAGCCAGAGGATAAAATTTTTCTCGAAAAGAATGTTTTGGAATGTAGTCCAAATGATGAAAAAGATGTATATGTTCCATTTATACTCGCGTAAATGTATCATTCTTGTCAGTTTTTTTTTTTTTTTTAATTTCATAGAAATCTCACGGATCATCATCATGTACGGATATTGCGTCTTACATCGTGCACGGTAAAGAAAAAATGCTGTCGATAGAACTGGTCAACAGTGCCATAATTGGAGTCAATTTTTTCGATATCCACAGCAATATTATCGAAATTAATACGTATTATTTTAATAACTTGTGTATTAGTTTCGCAACAATATTGCTGTTGAATCAGAAAGATTTAGTATCTATGGTATAGACAGAAAAACAGTAAGGAAATTGACCAATCACAGTGGATTATTCTCTTTACGATCAAAGAATAATCGACTTGGTCAAGGTGCTTGCATCTTGTTGCTCACATTTTCGTGTATACTACAAATCTTATTCCGATTCAGCGCTTTTGACCGATTCTACCGATGCGCAGCACCGCTTTCTTTCCATATGATCCAGTGTCGCTTTAAAAGTGGCACACTGTGTTTCTCCGCATGTGATCTCCGTCTCCCTAGAGGCTAACTTCTCGATTACGTGATCTTTTATCTAATGACTATCTCTACATGCGTTTCCGTTTTCTTATTTTGAATTGCGATATACGTGGCAGACCGGATACTATTATTCTGTTATAATAATCGTGTTATCCTCTCTCAAATATGAGACGCATGTCGTGTAAAATAGTTCCAAATATTATACGTGCTTTTTGTAAGTGCCTACGAATCGGTTCGGTTAAGCGCCGGTATCTCTCATACATCGAAGATACACACACGCACACGCGCGCGCGCGCGTGTAAATTCACACGCGCATACGCTTGATGCGGAAGAAAGAAAGGAGAAAACCTTTCGTGACATATAGAAGATAAAGAATATACGATTCTATATGATACTTATGTATGTAAATATGCATAGCGTCGCGATTGAACAACTTTCGATCGCACAGCGAGTTCGAACTTGATTCTGTACATATATAACGCTCGAGGATATTGAAATAGGGAATGTCTTTCACGCGAAAAGAAAAATCAATTCAAAAGTCATATTTTTATTTATAAACAAGAATATATAAATATATATAATCTTATATGAAGACAAAATTTGTCCTTTCTTAAAGAAATTCCATATAATTCCACTAAAAATCCCATATTCTTACTATTCAAGAATATTTTTTTATGAATTGAAAGTAAAAAGAAATATTGGATAGAAAGAACGATGTATTTGCAAACTGATCCAGTTGTTATTTATTCCTCTCGTTTAATGAAAATTATTCTTGAATATAACATGAAGACATTTTTAAATTATATAGAATTTCATTATGCAAGTTTTATCTTTGTATAAAATTATATATTCTTGCTTTTGTATAAAAATATGAATCCTGAATTTTGATATTAATTTTTTTCCATGCACGTTTTCTGACTGTAGGTTGTAAGTTAGACGTTAGGGGTCGCTTGTCGGGCTTAATTGTCGAGTATGCGTGAAATACGCACATAACTATGGTGGGACTTTTATATGTTGCACGTTGGGCGCGTCCCTTTCTTTTCCTACCCCTTTTTTAAACAGCAAATACGTATCGCACGCTCATTGTCAGCAGACTTTCTTCGATTGATTATCCGTTCAGTGTGAGTCATGAGATCATCAGTATGAAGAAATGTCCGCACGATGAGTGCGCTCGCGTTGTTGCACTTGTCGCCCGTGATACGCTCGGTGCGCGAAAAACAAAGAATATTTGCGAGTGCAATTTCAAGCTCGAAAAGAATCTGTACGCGTCATCTCGGCACGTTCGTTGACTGAACTGATCGCTCTCTCGTGCGCGGTCGACGGGCGTGATCGATGTTACGCAACTTTGTTGCCAAGTATGTGATAACAGGGAAGGGGAAAAAGAATTCTAGAGCGAGCGAGCGAGTGGATGAATAATAACAACATCGCTGCTATACGTGAGAAGGAAGAAAGTAGTTTTACATGATTATGACGCGCTGCGTGAGATTGATTACTTCGCTGGTGATAGTGCGTCCTCATCTCATCGAGGAATATAGATTCAAGTCGCAGAATAAACCGGCCTATTTCGAAATGTCCAATTTGAAACGTTCAAACGATGTTCCGACGATTCAATGCGATTCGTCGAAAGAAACAATTTGCACGATTTTATCGTCAATCACAAAGTCGACGTGTTAGTCATCGTGTGTATATACATATTATCAAATTAATGTATCAATTACGTAAGAGAATCCATCAATGAGATCCGAGTCGTGCGAAATCCTTACCTTTAAGCTGCTCGATGTACAATATAATGCGTTATTCTCGGTTTTTATACGACGGGTCTCTTTCTCCGCGTGTGTAATACGTGTAATCAAATCGATAGCTCCTCCCGTAGTCTTTCGTTCAGAAAAGACTTTTAATAAATTTGATACGTGACCACCGAGTGTACGCGTGACGGAGTGGCGCGCGTGCACACATGTTAGGACATATTCCGTAGAGAAAAATGATATATCTAAATGGAAAGGAAAAAAAAACTCGACTGTAGATAGTACTTTGTTTTGTATGTTCGTATATCATGTAACGACGCAAGGTTCACGTTTATCCGGCGTTTCGCATCACTTCAGTGCAATACACCCCGGCCGCGCTTTCGCCCGCCGGAGATAATCCGCACGGCTGTGTGCTAAATAGATCAACGGTATCTATGTAGATAGGATAAGAGATCACACATCAGATTATATGTACGATAGACAATTTTATAAATCCGGCCTGATTCGGATATAAAAGTACGCGCTAGCTGATTGTAGACGAATAAAGATACAGAGCGAGGCCGCATCTCGTTATCCCGATTTCTTCCGGATTCGTGCCAAATTTTCCATCTTTGCGTGTGACGATAACAGTTTTCCCTCTTTTCCTTCCTTTACTCTTTACTGAGAACTGCTTTCCATAATTTTGCATAATGGATCCGGCCGCGTCTTAAGTTGGGTATACACTGAACGGACGAACAAAGAGCAAACCAGCGAGTGCGCATAATCGTTATTAGAATTTGGAACATGTATAACGAACGGAACGATTTGTTCATAAGATGCTCTGTCGAAGAAAGTCGCGTTTAGACGCGAATATACAAAAATATTTTATCGTTTTTACTCTCTCATATGGCCCGTTTCGTTCCATCATTTTCAACGGTCGTTCCTTTCAGGCGCACGCACAGTTTATCGAGCAAAGGAATACAAATACACGCGAGTATGCATGAGTATTTTTGACGAGATCGCCCGTCTTCAATACTCATTTTCCAGCTGATGGGTGACACAACACGTTAATACACCTTCCTCTCTTATTCCGTTTTATTTCAATAAGTGAAGAAAACATATTCTCACCTTTGCTTTTAACTTTGCTGACCTATTAAAAAATGATATTTTTTTGAAAGTTTTGGATAATCTCTCAAATTAGAGAGGAGAATTCTGTTCAGTATCTCATACATTCAAACTTTTTGATTCCTCTAGACTAAAAAGTCCTCTTAACCAAGTATTTTGTACTCATAATTTTACACAACACTGTACTTATTGAAAAATACTCAATAGTGTATAGTTAAAATAGTATAAAAATAATGGAATAGTATAGTTAATATTATTCGAATATACTCGTATGCAATCCGCTATAGCTACTTGTTATTAGGGAAAAATGCCAACCTAAAAACGGGTCAGCCGAACGTACATTTTTACTATTCAAAATAATAGTTCTCGTGGGCTAAAAACGTTGAAATATTTTTCTAAAAATACATTCATATTATACATATTCACTGTTCGTTGGTTCAGTGTATACCCACCTTTGGAGAGATCATCGCCATGAATGCCCGCCGTGAATTGCCGATCACTAAACGTACCACAAATATGTGTGTGCGATACACGAGAACGCAGGCACGAAGATTAATGGTAAAACGGATAGAAGCGGTAATTGCGGTAAATCCGTGCACTCTAGTGTGCATTAATTAACACGATTACACGGCACGATATACACGACGTCGCAACAGAACACGTTATATAATTAATCTCACTGCGCGCTAATCTCGTCGGGCCATGAAGGGAGAAAGCAAAAAGTGAAGCTGAACAAAAGAACGCGCGTAGATGCCCCCTGATGGAAATATTTTGCCGAAATATTCTCTCAATTGATCCCATTTCATTAATATACACAGTTTTCTCTCGCCTTGACAACTCATAATATTTGTCTTTGGTCGTTGTTGTTTATTTTTATTGTATAATATATATACTGAAGAGAATCTTCAAAACCGAAAGGTTTGATTTAATATTTGAAGAATAAATCATTCATTCTCCATTGAGATCTCTCATACACGAGTAACTCGTTAAATTCACCGGTGACCCCAGCTCAACTTTCATCTGTAGAAAACACGACTAACGAAATACGGCATCGGTTGCCCGATAAATTTTCACTATCGACAACTCTGGGAAGGGGAGTCGATTCCTTCCGTGTAAACAGAATAATTCAAAATTGAAAATTCGGTCTTCAAATCTTCCCGGCGACCACGGAGGGTTAAAATCCTAAATGTGACTTAGAAGAAATTAAAATTAGAAAGGTTAAAAGTAGAACATTAACTTCAAGGTGCGTCATCTTCAATTGCAAAGTGTCATCTTTCCGAAAGGTTAATCGTTTTCTAAAATGACAGATATGTGGATAACATTTCCATCAATATGTTAACCTCTTGCCTTACGATTTAAGTTCCGATGGCGCGGGCCATAAGTGACTGCAAGGTCGATCACACGTCGAGCCATTTACGATTTGGTTCGAAGTTGTGCAAATCGCAGACGTCCTATGATTTGTAAATACATGTGTAAGGTACAATTAACTTTACTTTGCAAGATGTCTGATAAATAATTACGATCAATGTCCGGATCATTGAACAAGAAAGATTTATTGTTTTAAAGTGAATAATAAATTAATAACATTTTTATTTTAAATTCTAAATAAACTGATATTGAAGAATATCATCGTCTGAATAAAATTTACAAAAATTTAATAATCTTCGATCGTATGATATCTTTCAAAACATGTTGGTACATGTAATGTCGCGAGTAGCCTGATCAGCTCTACAACGTCTCTGATACGACTTGTTGATGTTTGGCCCGGTCGACATACCACGTCTCTAAGACGACATTATAAGCTAAGGGGTTAAAATTGAAAAAGATTCCTAAAAAATGGTTTAACAGGCCTTGAGAAGCTCTTGGAAGTTCATACGCTGTCCGGAAACGATGAGTCGCCGCAGCACAGGCCGAAGCACCGAATAACAATATTTCGCGTGTATCGACGCGCCCCGTTAGCGCCGCGATCGATCAATTTGGGCGTATTAGAATCGAACGGCGCATCATCACAACAGGTGGTGATAATTCACAGTTACGCCGCGAGGGATGCGAGTGTAGCGATTTCAATTATCGGCGATGTGTTCGTCCCGGACAATAGGCGCACACGGACTGTGCTCGAATGCGCGGATGTAGCGGTCAGCAAATGGCTGCGCATCATTTGCGACGACGAGTCGCGTCAACTTCGCCCGGTGTGAATTACCGTATCCTTTGCATCAGTTTGCTCTCAATCACACGTCGCAGAAGAAACTCGGCAAAGTCCGAAGAGAAGGATCCTCGCCCCGTTGATCCCCCGGGTAGGAAGCAAAAGGCCTTTTAGCTGAATCTGTCGGACGGAATTAGTTTAAATCAATAATTATCAAGAAAATGATGAAAGTGTTAATGATGACAGTAGAGGTTCACTAGAAATTAGTGGTGATCCCGTTTTGAAACGTTCTTACACACGGAGAGAAATAATTTTGCTGCAATAAAATTTAATTATAACCAAATTAGTCAGATTAAAAAAAATTCTACTGAGTGAAGTTGTTTCTTTTTTAAGACACGTTAATTTACTATTAGAACAGAATAGTGTTTTCCTACATTTACAAAATAATACAGCGAATAGGAATTAGTACTCTAAATCGTTTTGCTATCCGTGTGGTAGCCGACAGATTTTACCGCGACAGCACAAAATTTGCTGCGCCAACAAATTATTTCTCTTCCTATATATTATTTCTTTTATTGTATTTTAAACTATAGCTTATCCCTAATATCTTATTGCTAATTCCCTATATTTAATTCCTTATTCCTTTCATAGTTTAAAACGAACAAAAAGAGAGGTAGAGAGATGAAGAAGAAACCGCGCAATTTTCTCTTTCCGATATTGTTTGTTCCTTTGTTTTCTTTTGAATCTTTTTTTCAATTTCGTGCCGGTCGAATTTTCTGTCGCGGGCCACCGTCGGTTAATTATTCAGATATTTAGGGGTAACTAGCGGAGAAGATGACGAGATTTTACAGAAGAAAAATATTTACCTGTTGATTGTACAGTCGACAACTCGACGGTGACAACAGTCGCCTTTGTAACGCGCGCGCGCGGAGTCCCGCAAAATGATATTCCTTTCATATCGCGGTGGATGAAACGTATGCACCACGGTGGATAAACAATTTCACGGCGATGGCGACGCAAACATGAAAAAAATAAGTCGGTTGACAAAAAAGCAGTGTGTGCGAAAGGGCAGAAACTCTTCAATTAGCGGGATAAAAAGAAAATGATCGAGCAATTGAGAAACGCCGCGAAAAGCTACGTTTTTTTCGGCATTATCGCACCTTGTTGATTCCGCAGAAAAAAGAAAGTCAGCTACCTTCACCTTCGTTAAAAAGAGTTCTCTCTGCATATAGATTCTTTTTGTGAGAGTGCGAACCCATGTTTTATATTTCTCAAAGTATCTTTGACCTTTTTATGTTAGATAAAAATGACAATGGGTTTTTTTCAACTGTCCTTAGTTGCATTTTCTGTAATTAAAATAAGGTAGTATGCACAGTTGACACTTGGTTGTGGAGAGAGAAGAGGAGAAAATATTCTCTACGTTTCTTGGAACGAGAATGCACTCGAAGCGACAACGGAAATTCCGGAGATACAAGAATGAAAAGATCTTTTGACTCGAGACTTCTAACTCAAACTCAGATTGTATTCGTAATTCGTACAAATGAATATTCCCATTGGTACAAGTGAACTTGCTTCAAGTACTTTAGATTCACTCTTTAGTGTCGAATGAAAATATTCTTCTAAACGGATAATTCTTTCTACACAAGTGAAAAATCATTAGAATTCAAATGACTGTCACGTTACTTTTCGAATAGAATTTCCCAGAGAAAAATTTAGAAAGCAGAAACAAGACAGTGTTCAAAAAATGCAACTACAATAAACTGTCTTAACATATTAACTGCCATGTAATTACTTTTTTAGACAGCACATATCATTCGAATGCATTGAACTTATACTGGATATATATAATATATTGGTAATATATAATATTTTTTGTATCCTTTCTCTCGTATATTCTCAAGATGAAGGACCAAAATGGTCAGTGATGTCTCATTTAATTATCGAATGTTATATTCTGGGAGTGACATCTGCATTTTTTCTGCTAAAATAATTTAAACATTCTGATGACGAGAAAGATGAGCATGAAATTACTTAGTATAAATTGTTTTATATCTTGTGTAATTAATATATTGTTTATTCTGATCATTATAATGTTTGGTTAAAAATCTGAGAGCGATCAATATCACTGATTCGCGCTAATATATATTCGTAGCATATCTTTGCATTGTTTTCTTGCCAGCAAATATGTCATTACAATATCTGGTGTGAATAACATAAGAATGTATTATAAACGCATTCTATAAAGATATCATCAGGACTCATTGACACCATAAATTTTTAATCGATCATTGAAGTCAAGTAAGAAGAGTCGCGCATTTTTTGCTCTTACAACGAAATAAATGTATAATCTATTGAAAGGAAAAAGGAACAGCATTGGTTCGTTCTAAACGAACAGACTTGATGAGTTCCGGAATGTTGAACGTATCGCACCGTTTAATCCGGTCGATCATCTTATTCCGATGACATCATGACGCGATCGAAAAAAAAAACACTCGAAAGCTCCGAAAATGTTTCACTCTCTCTCAATGCGCTCTTTTAACTTACGCGCATCCCATCGCTCCTTCGCAGGAGGAGTAATAAGCCGGGGGATAATCCGCGAGTGATCGCGCGGGGGTGTGGTGGTAGCGGCAGCAGGGGCAGCATCCGTGCGAAGCAGGTGGCGCTAACGCAGGGGCCGAGATCGCGAAGAGCGAGCTGAAGCCAGTCAGTTCCGCGCCTCACGCGTGTGCGCATCGTTCGGACCGTTTGTGTCGTATATCGCGGACACGACATATCTCTTTCTCTCTCTCACGCGCGCGGAGATTGTCCGTCTCTAAGAGGAAGAGAAAGTAGCTACCGTTCTCTCTCTCTCTCTCTCGCGCTGTCGACTCGCTACGACGAACGTTGATACCGGTCTCGCCGCACACGCTTTCTGCGATCGATTCGCATTACCCCTTTTTTTTCCCGATCCTCCTCTCTCTCTTCCTTCTCCTCCTATCGTCCACAGTCACTCACGCACATACGCACTCACCCCCTCGCATCCCCGGAGGGCGCCGGCCGAGGACGATGTCGAGGATGTGAACCAGGAGACACCTGGAGCGAAGCGTATTGGTCGCCAGTGCGATGGCGCAGAAATGGTAAATACACCGTTTGTCATTCGTGCCTATTTTAATCGAGAAACGCGCGGCTTCGCTCCTTTTCTCTCTTTCTTATTTTCCTCCTTCGAGTTTCTCCTTTGCATACATGTTCTTTAATCGCTTTATCTCGGAGGTCGCAGGTGGTCGCCGGCCTTCCTTTCTCGTTTTTGTAGCCGTTCGGAGAAAAAAAAAGTGTTCGCAATCGCTCACTACCGGCATTTTGTCGCAAGAAAGACAGATTGGACGACACTTGTTTCCTTCTCAGAATGCGCAATGCTCTTCATAGACTATCGTTCTTTTTCGCGTTGCGAAATGTGTAGGAATAAATAAGGATGTAAGGACGCGACACGGTGGGTACGGTAAACTGAGACGATCTTTCTCGCAGGATTTGAGACGCGTGAAAATTGTACGAGATTATTCCACGTGAATGTACACGATCGCGCATTTACACGATTATAAAAAGGTTACCTGTGCAATCCTGCGAGATTCGTGCTCAAAATAAACGACAGTTTAAATTTTAAAAAGACTCGCCGGAAACGGGAGAACGAAAGCGGGAAATAGGAATAAAGAGAGAGAGAGAGAGAGAGAGAGAATTAGACCGGTAAGAGTTAAAAAATTTAACAAATAAACCATTGGAAGATTCAATGTACACACACACACACACACACACACACACACACACACATATATATACACATTAGCGGATGTTACTTGAATGAAAATTAGTATATTAATTAATACCTCATTTAGGCGACGCCGCTAATTCCCGCTAATATCTCGACCTTGCGCACCAAAATTCCCTAATGAGTTTTGGCAAGTAGTTCGTATTAAACTACGGCACTATCGCGACGTTAAAACCCAAAGCGGCCTTCCCCCAATCCTCTTTTTTCACGATGGTATTACAGCGAAGAAGAGAGAGAGACTGTAATTTATCGAACGGCTAATTGATAAAGAATCGCCAATCCGAGATTAGTTCATTCGGATTGTCGGTATATTCACGCAAGTAGTGGTTGTCGGTCGGCCACGCGGTTAGCTGTAATTAAGCGAAGTTTCCTCCCGTATACAAGTCGGAGAAGTCGTTTGTTTCGACTCCTTCAGTCGTCTCTCCGTCTTTCACGTCTTCGCAGCTGCTGTTTGAGCAGGGCTGTTCACTTGGAGAATTAATCGATAAACACACACGATCTCGCGCGAATATACGAATATGTTTGCGAGATCTCTATACGAAGTCATCATCGCCACGTCGGCGATCAACAATGACTTGCTGGAATGCATTTCCGTACGCCCCCTTGTCCCTCTCGTTGCCACCGATGACGCCACATTGACATGACACGCTCGGCCACCCATTCGGAGTTAGATAATTAACATCCAGCCGTGCGTTTTTAATCGAATCCGCTTTTGTTGGACGCTTAATTGGCGCACGTGTTCGAAATTCATCGTGGTTACATGAAACCAAGCCAACTCCATGTCGGGGATTCCCTCCTAACCTTTGACCTTCGGAGTGATGTATACATACACATGTATATATATATATATATATATATATATACACATACAGGGTGTTCGGTATGTTTCGTACGTCTGCTCGTGTGCAGATAGAAGAGGTTAAATTGGTAGAAAAAGTAGACTCCGCGGAATCTGTGTTTTCTTCGCGTCACTGCGTCTCATAGCTTTGGGCGAAGGAACGCGACGAATGTCACGGTCGAAGACATCTTTCTTTCTCGATGTTTGGCCTTCTCGTGCGTTCATCAGCTCAGATAGAATAATTAATTCCTCATCATTGCGAATTTTGCACAATGACTGTTCTACTCGTACACCATGGGAACCGAGATTAGATTGGAACATCCTGTACAGAAACGAATAAAGCTGTTGTATCAATAAAATTGATCAATAATGCCATAACTGAAGTAAATCTTCTTGATTCGATAGCGCGATATTATTAATACATTGAAATATTATACACTGTTTTAATAACTCGAATATTAATTACCGAAGATTTACTTCACTTATATATAGACCAAAGCTATTTATGCGTTTTTTTTCCACAAATTGACTTTAATCGCATATATATGTGTATGCTTGCGACGCGATGCCGCCGCAGAATCCCACGAATGCATTAACATCAAAGTGAGCTTGAAAAAGCGAGGTCCCCGTTTCCACCGCATGATAACTTAGTTTAAAATTTTCGCACAATAGAGACTTACAAAAGCGTTCGGATTTTATTGCTCCGTTTCGCTCTCATTCTCCTTATCTCTCCTCACGGTCGACGTTGCAGTTCTCCGCGAATGTGCTTAACGATAAACAGATGATTATGAATTAACTAACAGCTGTTGCGATGTGCGATTCGACGTTTCACGTTGTTTGGCGAAGTTACACTGCGGGCGATTCGTAATACGGCGAGAGGTAAAATAGAAGATTCGATTTGCAGCCGTGATTCGTGCCACAAGTGAGTCTCGCGACACACAAATTGATAAATCTCTCGGCATGAAATACGAAGCACACCGCAGAAAAATGATCGCGTGAGACTCAACACGACACTTCGAAATGGCTCTCGCTGCAAATTATTTTTGCCGTTTAACACTAAGCGAGAAGCGCATTTAACTCACAATTTTAACGTCGGCAGAGACGCCGTATACTAACAAAATGTCTACCGCGCGCACGGGAGGGTTAAGTTTTCTGATTCACGTCTGTCGTGAAATTCCGCGGCTGAATGAAAGAGTGACTGTCTGGAAATCCGTCGGCATTTATTTAAATGGAGAGAGACATACATATAACGTGCGTGTCGTATATAAATTCGAGTGAAACATTTTCGGAGCAAATGACGGATGTGTCAATCCTCTTGAAGCTCCTTTTCCTCCCTCCCTCTCGTTCTCTTTCCTCGCATCTGATCGTTGATAGCGCCGACATGAATAAGTCGTATCAGAGACGTGGTAAGTCGACCGCGATCAGAGACGTTGTAGAGCTGATCGGGCTACACGCGACATGTACCAACATGTTTTGAAAGATATCATACGATCGATTATTAAATTTTTGTAAATTTTATTAAGACGATGATATTCTTCAGTATCTGTTTATTTAGAAATTAAAATAAAAATGTTATTAATTTCTTATTCACATGAAACATAAACTATGAGATGCTTCGCAAATTTGTGCAATTGAAGATCGCGCGAGGAGAAGTTCATCTCGAAGAGTAATAGTCCGTAAAACATATGGTAACGATTTATGAGACATCCTTGTTCAGTGAACGGACTATTAATTTAAAGTTGACTTTAATTCAAGACTAATCTCACCGGGTTTGCGGCCGATGGATAGCGTACCGAAATGTTCCTTCGTGGGACGTCGATTTTCAACGCACCGAGAGTACGACGAGCGCGAACAACAAACGTAAATTTTTACGAGTGCAACGTAAAACATACCGAATCGAGGTCACTCCGAATCGTCAGCCGCTATCACCTCGTCGATTTTAATGAATTAAATCGTGAACGACGCGTGCGCGATATCCAGCCGCGGCAACGGTGACAATTAAAACGTCTTGGAGCGAGCCATGTGTTTATCACTGATTAATTTTGCAAATTGCGGATCAATCGCGAGCCGTTGCTGGCCAGCTATCGGCTTGATACCGCGATGAGAATTTCTTTTGACGGCCGCCGTCACGTGACTTCATTCTGCCAGTAAAATACTCGTCGATAGTTTCCAATTTGTACATTATAAGGTATTATACGTAGTAAAAAACATTTGTGTTAGAATTGATCCTTATATAAAAGGTTGTGTTAAATTTTCAACATATCCGTGTGTTAATTTAACATATTGTGTTTATTTTATGTTGATATTCAACATGTGTTAAAGTAATATATTTTATACTTCTCAGTGTTGATTAACATATTATAGAGATTAATTTTGTGTTCATTTTTAAACATAATATTTGTGTTACTTTTTAACATGTTCACTTTGTGTTAACACAAAAATTTGTGTGGACTGTTTGGGACATGTATTAAATTTAACACACATTTTTTTAACGTGTATAATGTAATTATCTAGAATACTTCTCTTATAATATATAAATATTATGAATTTAATATTTACTTATTTATTAGAACAACATAGACGCGCGCTACACGAGCGCTCTATTTAGCTAATTATATTATACACGGAAAAAATCTCAGTTTATGTGATTAAATAAAACGCTCTATCAGATTAAAAATCGACTTCTCCCTTTTTTGTCTTCTTTAATATGTTATTTTTAATTTTTAATTTTCTTATCTTCTTTAACACACAAACTGATGAACTGCTAGAATTCACGCAATGATTTGACAGCCGCAAATAACACACGTGAAGCAAGCAGGCACTCAATATCACGAAAAGAAGCGACAGTAATGATTTCGATAATATCGAGTATCAACTTTTTTTAGAGAGAAATTAAGACAAATACATATATCTTTTACAAAGAAAATATGACAATCATTAATAAAAACACAATATTAAAAATGATTATACTTAACTAAAACGGTTCCACAGAGCCAAAGTCTTCTATCCTTTGTAGGGGCTATGTAAAGGTAGCTTCAAGGATTTTTATACAATGATGCTTTCTCTCGTCTCTTTAGAAATATGATCTTAAGCGAGCTTTCGAAATCCGCCGGCAAAAATTGCTAGTTGTTGATTCCTCCGCGAATTATTATTCATTTACAAATCCGTCTACCCACACGCTTCTTCTCCTTGTAATAATCAAACATTTCACGTTTACATGAACCATTTCGTACGAGGGAACAAGAATGCGGAAAAATTACTGGTATATAATTAAAAAAACATTTCACCATTTCGTACGAGGGAACAAGAATACGGAAATATTGTTGGTATATTATTAAAAAAACAATAATTACATTGATTAATATTAATATTAAAGAAAAATAGTAAACCAATAATTTTATCGCGCATTCTTGTAGTCGCGCAGTCTTTTTCCGTATGGAATTTCTGCGCAATAAATATTTTAATTCGCCACGCCGCAA